GGCGGGAGGAGTGCTCTTTTCCCTGCCGTTCCACATTAATTGCTTCGACAGCTCAACTCTGAGCCTCTGCTGAGAGTTTCCCAGTACCGACGAGGAGAAAGATAAAAGGATGGACAGAGAGAGAAGAGGAGACAGAGATAACGTACGCTCAGAAAGGAGCATCATTCTCAGCTGAATGGGTCTGAATGAGACAAACTAGCATGTAGGAAAAAAAAAACCTGTACACAAATCAAATCAAAACTTCAAACTAGCTGCGTTTCTGTTGCAAATGTGCGCAAAACTTTGTTGATATTCTGTTAATGTAAAAAAAAAAACATAGTTTCACAATTGTGGTGTTTCCATTAAGTGAGAAATGCTATTAAAGTCACGCGTGAATATGTTTGTTCTCATTACAAACATGGCGGCAACGGATATAAACACATAGCATATTGCTACTACGACACTAGYGCTCATCATCAGAGGAGACGTCGGCGTCTTATCGAGGCTTTCCAGTGACAAGCCCCTCATACTTGGGAGTGGCTACATATGCTGCGTTTTTTGGGAAAATGTAGTCGGTGATTTTAATACTTTCTTTTGCTACTTTGGTGATTTCACTACTACTTCTACTTCCTGTTGTCTTCTTCCCTGTCGTCTTTTTCGCCAGTAGAAACAGCCTGTTCTTGATCGTCTGACTCCCGTGATGCGAAAAAAGTGTTTCCATTGCAGTTTTGCGAAATACATCAATTTCGATACGGCCGAAAAACCACCTCATCCTGGCGCAAAACCATTTCGAAATTGACACTTTCCCATTGAGCAAATTTATTTTCAAAATTCTAATTTGCGCATTTTCATGATCAGTGGAAACACAGCTACTGATGAACAGGAAAAATTGAGTCCAGTCTGATCCAGACTGGACTCTGTATCCATCTATAAACTAAAAGCTGAAAAGTTGGTTAACCGATGATTCATGTTACCTCCAAATGACACACTATTTATGTGAAATTTAACTCAGTTTTAAAATAATTCAAATATTTTGTGGTGAGGTTTTGTGGATAGATACCTGTCAGTGTCTTACCTGCAGAAGACCACTCTTTGATCAGTGTTATTTTGGAGAAATATTGGTCAAGGCTGGTGTTCGAGCCATAAATAAGGTTAATGTTTTGTATTACTGTATTTATTCATGTATAAAACTAGAAATTTAACTCTAAAAATCATTCATGAAGTGGGGGATAGTATTATACACAGGTTATTTTTAATTAGATTTTTACGCTTTGTAAGCTCAAAAAATGATGATCGTATTATACTTGAGATCGTATTATACATGAATAAATACGGTACCTTTTAATTTTTTTGTCTGTAACAGTAAGTGAGGTAAACAAGAGCTTAAGTTAACATGATTGTGAAATTCAGACTTTAACACTAAATTTAGTCACAATTACTGAGGTTTTTCTTTTCAGAAAGTTATTAGAACTGACACACAGAGACAGTAGGAGCAGCTGTTGAACTTACGTTGCACATCTCTCGCACAATGGCCTTCTCTTTCTCACTGAGGTCGTCCTCGTAGTCCTCGGGAGCCTGCTTGTCCAAATTCTCATGGACCTCCAGAACCTTAAGTGGCACAAAAAAAAAACTGTTTCTGCTGATAAACAACAAAGAGGACCCAGCCTTCATTAAGGGGACAGTTTTACAGCTGGGCACTCACTTATAAAKCAACAAGTATAGCAAAATAAGACGTCCAACCAAAATGTTTCTAAAATGACATCTTTTACCTTCATGGCATGAACCACGGCCTCCGGCTTCTGGACGCAGGACAGGTAGCCAGTGGCAGGGGACGATTCGCTGGTTGGTAGACGGTTTGTACCCTGGAGAAAGAAAAGAAGACGGTTGTTTCTGTCAGTAAAGGGTAGCAGGAAAATGGTGTTTAAAGTGCTGACCACTTTACAGGCTAAAAGTCTTAAGCAGGTAGAAGATGTGCTCTGTGGTTTATCACAGACCAGGGGTCGGATTTATAAAACTGGCGTACGCACAATTTGAGCCCAGAAACTTGCGTACGCCACTTTTTACGCCAAGGTTGTGATTTATAAAATCCAAACTTGACGTGAAAATGTGCGGTGCCTCACTCCAGCTCTGACCCATGCGTACGCTCATTTTGGAGACATGACACTGCGATACAGATGGTGAAGTGAAGAATTAGAGCCACACTGTGTAATGATCACTGTCAGAAATTTAATTTACCTTCAGAATCAGACTTAGATTTTTATTCAACTTTATCATCAGCTTTCTAAATAGTAATATTTATGCTTCTGCTGCTGAGCCATGAGGACCTTTGAAATAAAAAAACTTAAATCTTAAATAAAAGTTCCCATGCGCAACTCCATTCATCTGCTTCCTCCTCAGACAACCCTGACCCACAGACCCCTCCCTGATCCACAGACCCCTCCCTGACCCACAGACCTCTCCCCAATAAGAACAGCAGGACAGCAAAAGTCACGCTTTGGATACACGCGCAGGGCGCATCCACCTCGCCAGTGTGGATGTTATAAAACTTCATGTTTAAAGTCCGTGTTTGTCACGCGGGGGGGTGCGCGGGGCGGGGGTGTCTGTCGCGCATAACAGAGCAGGCAGGAGGGGGAGAGGATGAGGAGAAGAGCAGTGAACTTATTTCTAATTTTATCTGACTTATTTAATTTTATTTTTTATTGTTTTTATCATTCTGCAGGCTCTGAGAGAAAATTAATTTGAAGCTGAGATTTTTTATAAAAATCGTTAGAGTACTCTAAAGCAAAATGAGGGAAAATCTGTGTCAATTACAGACATTCTGTTCATGTGAGCAGCTGTCAGTCAGCACCTGTCAACCTCCAGACACACGACGGAGCGTGTCTGAACCAATCACTTTTGTTGACATTGATCAGCTGACTGATTTAAATACATCTTAACATTCATGAGGTACTTTACATTGACTGTTTATGGTTGAGTGTGGGCGTGTAGAGGGTAGAACCTGAGGCGGGACCTCGTGCGCAAACTGACAAGCGGCTGTGATTTATAAAGGAAAGCTGCGCAGAAACATGCGTATGCACGGTTTTATAAATCTGAATTGTTTTTTGGCGTACGCCATTTCCGCCTTTTGGCCGTACGTTCACTTTTAGTATGGTTTCCACGCAATCCTTTATAAATGAGACCCCTGAACCTTACAGAATGAAATGGTTAGCCACGCTCTCTGCACCTCTTCTTGTACTGAAAAGATTGATTTTCATGTCCTGTAGCACTGAGAATGTCATCCCCTTCATCACAACTCAAATCACATCTCTTCCCTTTCTGTTTGTCCTTTTATTTTTAAACCAAGCATTCAGGTCCCAGATCTGCTACCTGCTCGGGGTGATTTAACCTGGTGTGATGGGAGCAGTSAGCCAGGAGGAGAATCGGGGTGTTTGCTTGACTCATCTCACCCCCTGGTTAGTTCCAGACAGTGGCTCTCTGTTTAAGGGACACACAGATCTCTGGGGCACAACAATGGCACTATTCATTGTGACCTGGCATCAGAGGCCTGCATTAGACACAGCTCTGTTGCTCCGTTAGCTCGGGTTCAGTGTTTGTCAGCTTCAGCTACATTTCCTGGGTCTGTTTAGGCATCAGGATGAGGCTGTATAATCTGAAGGCGCACAGATCCAAGAATAATCTCAACTTTATTCCCCCAAAATCTGTCCCAACAGCATGAATGAAACCTAATTAAATTTTTAATAAATAAACCTAAACAACCTAATTTCCCTCTGGGATCAATAAAGTATTTTGAATTGAATTGAATTGAAGTGTCAAGTTGTACGGATTGTTCGCAATTTACACCGATTTTCTGTCATTAAGCAGTTATACACACGTATCGAACAATCTCATGGATTTTTTTTCATGTTTTACGTATTTTTCAAAAACTCAAGTTTCAGATTTATTTAACACATCAGAGCCTGTAGGACAGGGATGTCCAAAGTATGGCCCTAGGGCCATTTGTGGCCCCTGAACTGATTTTGTGTGGCCCCTGATTCAGTTCAATAATTGTACTAATTTGTGTACAAATTTGTCCCCTGGCACAGTTGTTTGATGTAGATGGTGACTTTCTGTTTATTATTAGGGTGAATTTATCACAAAGTAAAATCTTCTAATAAAAAAAAACAGGCTCTTAGCTTTTTCCACATTTATCTAGTGACTTCTACCAAAAGCTGATTTTGCTGCACTCCAATCTGCTTTTAATTAATTTATTAAATTTGTTTTAATACAGCAATCATTTTCAACGAAACAGTAACCTAAATCCTGATTTTATTGATCAGAATTGACTAAACTGGGTTATTTTTCCCTAATTGAAACCTAGAAAACTGCAAAATGTCTTTCAATAAGGGAAACCTGCAAAACAYTTTTAAAGTTCTGGATGTAGATGAATTTACGCATCCAATTCCAGCAATAAATCTGGTAATTTTAGTTGTTTAATTAAAGTATTCARTGCTTAGTTTATTGTTGAGTAGGTATAGGAAAAATATTTTTGGCCCTCGTTTCTTTCTGACTTTATGATTTTGGTTCATGTGACAAAATGTTTGGACACGCCACATTAGACTTTATTTAATAAACATACAGTATGTTTATTAAATAAAGTCTAATGTTACAACTAATCATGGATCCCTTTAAGCTAATTGGCAATTCAATAACTAAAAAAGAGCTACGCTAACAATAAACAGCTAAGAAAATTAGTGAAAGCTTACGCTAACTGCTGACCACTAACTCAAGATCTGTCACTTTAACATGAGGTATCTAAATCTATGAGACTAACGCAGCCTAAACACAAATTGCTGAACATTTATGCGTGTGTGCAGCAGGAAACGTTAGCGCCGCTATTAGCTGTTAGCAAAGCTGTAGCCACCACTGTTTTAAAAACTTTTCACCTGATGAGATGAGTGATATTTTGTTCATGAAAAGAATGTATATTTACAAAAAATAAATAAAGTTTGAAGTTTTAAAGTTTACTATTTTCTGCAGGATCTGTCGGCTATTTGAAACCAAAGAAGTTACTCCTTTTTTCACTCCACACCAGCGTCAAGCACAGTTCAACTTTAAAGTTTTTTTTATTGGTCCAATTAATTAAATAATATTTTCTAACCTCTTTGTAATCACAGCAGTCACCTTCTACTGGTCATTAGGCAAAATGCAGATTTAAATTACACAGTAGCTTTATTTTTCAGATTTGGAGTCCACGTTTCCTTACATGTGATCTATGACTCGATTAAATTGATGTACACAGAATGCTGAAGGCCTGAACTGATTTTATCTTAATTTAACACTGTCTTTTCCTGTTAAAAATATTTTGAACCAATTAATGAGCCTCAGCTTTTCCAGAGCAAAAAAAAGTCAAATATAATAATTTTGATATATATATATATATATAT